AAGCTGGAGTGAGAACCCACAAAGGTATGGGAGAGTATGCCAGCTCCATGCAGAGAGGTCTCCTTCTACAAGGGAACAGCAACTACTGTTCCATCATCCAGCCTCTCCAAGGTGAGATCAATACCAAGGTAGGAGTTTACCTCAGAAAAAGGCCCTGGTATGGAGGAAGTACTTTTTATTTACAAGGAGCCATAGAGTTTCATGGAGAGGTGAGTGCTAAATATTATAGGCTGGATTATGGAATCTGTGTTTTGGATCTGGGTAGTTAAGGGTTAAAGGAAGAGTTTTGAAAGTTAAGGGTAATGGTTATGAGCGAACTCAGAGGACATTTTTTTTTTCCTGAAGATGTCTTTTTGGGTTTTCTTTCTTGCAATTTTTCAATCTCCTGTTGCAGATGTTTGAACTCCTCCATAAGGCTCTCTGTTGATGTTTTATTATCCTCCTCCATCTCTGTCAGAGCTTTCTTAGCATTTCCAACTGTATCTTGAAGGCAGGAGTTCTCTGTTTCCCACTGCTACCTTTAACCATGCCGTGCCTCCTGAAGGTTTTTAATAGCTGCTTCCACATGTCTAAGAGCTTTCTACTGCTCTGTCAGGAGACTGGACTTTTCCTGGGCCCAGAGATGTTTGGTTCTTCACATCCTACTCCATCTTGAGCAAAACAGCCTTTGTTTCATTGATTTCCTGCACTTTTTCTGCTAAGCCGATCTCAGTCTCCTTTGTTCTGGCTTCCTCTGCAAGCAGAGAAATTTCCAGTTTCATGGCTTTTCTTGCAGAATCCTGATGTAACAGGTTGATTTCCTGCTCTTTCAGTTGCAGAGAACCTTTCTCTTGTTCTAACTCGGCTTTTTCTAACTCCAACTGCTTCTTCAGCTGCTCCACCTCATCTCTTTGTTGTTTAACATTTAACTTTTTATTGAAATTTTTACATTTATTTACATATACAGTGAACTTGAACACAACACATCCACCTCTACCCAAAATAAAAAGGAACCAAAACTGTTGCTCGGGGGCTTGTACTCATTAATACCTTATTGTCTCTCATTTTCAAAGGCCTTTATCCACTTTTGTCGCTCTCTGTTGTCCTGAATACAGTCCATTTTGTCCATTTTTTTTCCATTTGTGCTTGTTGCAGTCTCAATCTGTGTGTCAGTTTTTCCATAATATAAATTTCTTCCACAATTTCAGTCCAATGTTCTTGTCATGGGGGGTCCTCTTTCCCCCACTTCCTCGTGATCGCTTTCTTACCCGCTATTAACAGAATCTTAGTCAGGTATCTATCTTTTACCGTAATCTTGGTGTTATTAAAATTACATAGATAGAATACCATGCTACTCATAGGGATATCATACCCCAGTATCCTCTTCACAGATACATAAACATTTTTCCAGAATGCAACAATTTTTGGACAGTTCCAAAATATGTGCGAGTGATCAGCATTCATCAATCCGCATTTTCTCCAACACTCTGCGCTTGTATTACTATATTTATTCTTGATTTTAGGCGTGATGAAAAAACTTATAAGGTTCTTCCATGCAAACTCCCTCCATATCCGCGAATTAGTAGATGTCTGTTGTGTTTTCCACATATCTATCCAGTCTTTATCCGTAATTGTTCTCTTTGTTGTTAGTTGGCCATAAGATGAGATCTTTCCTTTTTCCACTGCTGCCGCTGTTCCTCTAAATCTTTCTCGATTTCGACCAAAGGGGCCTTGATTCTACTGGTTTCCTGCACTTGTTTGGCTAAGCACACCTCAGCCTCCTATCATTTTGCCGTCTCAGCAAGAACTGCCTTCATTTTCTGAGGCAAGACAGAGAGATTCTTAATTTGTTCTAATAATCTGGTGTTTTCTTGTTGAAGTGCTCTTCTGTGGAGTTATAGCAGAGCTCAGCTCCCTGTAGTGTTTTCCTTTCAGCAGCTAGCTCAGTCTCAAGCTTCCTAGCTTTCTTGTTGGCATATTTACGCACTATCTCAATTTTTTTCCATCTCTGCAGCATATGTCTTCAGGTTTTTTGCTAATTTTATGTTTTCTTGTTGAAGTGTTGTGATCTCCTTATCTCTTAAGCTTATGCAGACCGCAGCCTCCTGCACTGTTAGCAGTTAGCACAGAGCCCAGCTGCCTAGCTTTCCCATTGGCATATTTACGCTCTGCCTCCATTTTTCAAGCTTAACAGCATGTCTCTGCATGTTTTGCGATAATTTAATATTTCCATGTTCCATGCGTGCTGAGATCTTCTCATCTTTTGAGTTCAAGTAGATTTCAGCTTGCTGGACCTTTTTTCTTTCAGTGGTTAGCTCAAACTCCAGCTGCCTAGCTTTCTCGTTGGTAAGCTGACGTGCTGCATTCACTTTCTGAGGCACAGCAACGATACTCTTGATGGTTTGTGATAAGTTGATGTTTCTTGTTGCAATACTGTGATTGTCTCATCTTTTGAGCTTAAGTAGATCTCTGCCTCCTGCACCCATTTCTGTTCAGCAGTTAGCTCAGACTCTAGCTGCCTAGCTTTCTTGTTGGTATATCCAATCCCTGCATCAATTTTCTGAGGCACAGCAACAATACTCTTGATGTTTTCTGATAACTTATTGATTTCTTGTTGCAATGCTTTGATTTTCTAATCTTTTGAGCTTAAACAGACCTCAGCCTCTTGCATCTTTTTCTTTTAAGCAGTTAGCTCAAACTCAAGCTGCATCACCTTCTCGTTGGTATGTTGACAAACTTCCTTTCATTTATAAAGCTCAGCAGTGAGAATGTACATGTGTTGGGATAATCTGACGTTTTCTTGTCGAAGATCTGCGATCATCCAGTCTCTGGTGCTTAAGGGGTTGTGAAAATCTATCTCATGATATTACCTGCTTTCTTTTTATCAGCTCTATGTCCCTTCAATATGTCTTACTTTAAAGTTGACAATCAAACGTTACAAGAGGTAGAAAGAAATGGGATCACTTGGGCCAGTTCACAAGAACACAAGTATAGACTTGTGTATTCGCTAAGTATGTTCTTGAGAAAAAGACAGGAATGTATGGACTGTGGGAGAATTGAAGATTACAGCATAGATATTGGTCAATTGGAGCAGAAGTGTACTCGTGAATTCACCACATGCTCGGCTCGTCTGGAGCTGCATTTCACCTCCTATTATTAATAGTCTCTAGATGATAATAACTTATTGGGGACTAATAATTAACACAATCAGATAAACGCATATCAAATGAATGACTAACATTTCTAGAATATTTAAAACAAAAAAAACAATTTAGGACAATACCATATTCTCAGGACAATATGACACTACTTTTCTCCCACTCTTTGAACCATGGGGCTTTCTTTGGATTTTCCCTAATCACCAGAGGGGGAAGTCAAAGTTGGAAATACATGAATAAGGGGCTAATTTTCATTTAGCACGAGAACACGCAAGTAGCAGTCATGACGGGGAACAACTGTCCTGAATTCACACATTTTGACAATTATTTGCCGCATTAAAGATGCCGAACCAACGAAGAAAAAGATGTAGCGCCAAGGTATTTATCCCGGCCACAGTTTGTATCCCCTCGCCGGGAGCACTCACTCCTGCAGAGCTGAAATAAAGCGCCAACGAAGCTCTGTTTTGGACAGCTAAAATCCAGTGTTAAGTTTCCATGATCAGTAATGGAGCCTCTAGAAGAGGAGACCTATGTTCTTCTCTCTGCTGACAATCTTTACGGAGAAGCTGATTTCATTTTCCAACAGATCAAGATGCAGACATCATATCCAACAATGCAGAGGGGAGGAAGGCCGCTATTAAAACAACCGGACATTCCTTAACACCTCACCAGAGCCACAGGCTGATCACTGTCATTGAGTAGATATTCATGCACATTGCTTCCAAACTACAGTAAGCATTGAATGCATTTACTTCTACAGCATATGATCGGTTTATATATATATTTTTTTTACTCTCCTGACTAATGGCACCTTTTTTGCTTCTTAGTAATATGTTCACACACAGAATACTGTGTGACAGTTTCTTCCTGAGTCATCTTTTCTGATTTACCCTCCTTAAGGCCACTTCTGAGGCATTGCCTCTGCAACCGTCAAATCTGTCTCTGTAAGTGACCACACCCCCCCCCCGTGCAGAGGATGTCAACCGTCGTCACGCACCTCAAAAAAATCCTGACTACACGTCAGAAGGTCGCAAACCTGCGCGGACCTCTGGCAGAAGTGCGCAGACAAAAATCAGCTGTGATTGGTCCTTGCTATGCCTTCCAGGCTGTCTGTGTGGTTGTCCTTCTCGATTCGGTGCCAGGGCGCGGCCTTTTTAAAAACCTAGGAGTAATAACTACAATGGATAACCACGACGAAAGGTTGATTGAGGAAGTTCGGAAGTACAACCACTTGTACAATGCCTCAGACATTTTGTTTTGGAAAATGAACACTCTCGCCGGCGCAGCCGAAGAAGTTTTCGTGACCATCCGCCGAAGTTCTCACGAGTTCTCGAATAGGCCCCCCCCTAGCGCTTTGGCGGGAAACTGCTGTGTGTCCCTAGAAATTCTAGACAGATGTTGCAGAAACACCAACAAAACTGGTTCGTGACCAGACGCAAGTGACATTTGATGTGTGCGCTTGCAGAAGTACAATCCGCCCTTTATCCACAATAGCTGTCACTTCAGCAGTCTTCGCTGTGGTTGTTTGGTTTATAACAACATTTCTTTTTTAATTATATTGAATAGGTCTGATGTAATACTCTAACTTTAAAAGAAACAACATTCTGGTTGTGACATTTTTTAGCCATATAAATGTGAGGGAATAATAATTTATATATATATATTCTTTTTTGCATGTCCAATCTGAAGAGCAAAAATTATAGGCCTAAAGCTATGTGGGTCTAGTGGCTCTGTGGTGGAATTTATTTTATTTTTGTTCCTGGAGGAAGTAACATACAGTATGATAAAAATTTCTCATTTTTCACCTCCTCTAATATCCCCACCAATAGCAACGCGCTTGGCCCGCCCCTGCTGGCTCTAATGTGAGTCCGTGTTGAGCTGTAAAAAGCCCCACTCTTCTTCCAGTCTTGGCACCGGAGCGCGGCGCACCACGACGGAGCAAAGCGGGACCAGGAGCGCGCCATGAACACCTCACATTATTTAGACAATATTTCTGGTAAGAGATTTGTTATTTTATCGCTTTTGATTCGTTGTATTTCCAGATCCAAAATCTCTTCCTTGGGCGCCTTTGCATCCAGATGATCCCCAGTGCGTCTGTTTAACACAAGAGTGAGGGGTGTTTTGAATTATGTGACACGACAGCTTGGTTTAGTTCAAAAATATTGCTTTAAATAGTACTTTAATTGCAGGGGTAGTACATTTCCATTTATTCTTATATCTGGGAATCATATATGTATTTCACCAGTAGATTTTCGAGGGCATGCGATGCCTTATCTGTGTGAGGCGCACAGATACATTGGTTTTTTACAAGTTGGAGAACAAAAGCGGTGGGGAAATAGATCTGATGTGACCACACAGCGCTGAGGTGTGTGAGAGCATGGGATTTGTCAGGCCGTGACAGAGGTGCACGGATGTTTGTCATTAATCTTCACCTTTCCAGCCCCGCCTCCCCCCCGTCAACCCGGTTTCAGCTCTGGACATTATCAGGGGCCACCTCCAGCTTATTTTCTTCACAGGATTCTTTTCTTTTTCCCAACAGAAGGGAAACAGATGCACTGTAATATCAACAGACGGTTACTCGTGCAATGTTACGCAAAAATGAAAGTAAATAAAAAAAAAAAAAAGCGCCCCCGCAGATATCGGACAGACTGAGCGGTATCAACCTTCTCCATCCTGCCAGACGAGCTGTTTGCCGCGGCAGCCAAACCAAACGGAGGAGCCATCAGCTTCCTGTTCAGCACCGCAGACAGAGACACAATCGGACTTGTTCACACCCACCTCTGCTCCACGCTGTTCCGATGCCCTTCTATCTCCAAGCGGGGACGCGGGTCCGCCCACGCGTGTTTGGGCGTTAGTGCAGCCTGGCTTGTTCTCACCCAGGAGGCTTTGGAGTGCTTGTTTGACGTGAAATAAAGAGAAGCTCGCTATAAACCAGTGAATAAATACCGGAGTGCTGTTTGCTTTGCAAGTGAGCAAAGCTCAGTGTTCCACATCACCTGAAGGTAATAGCCTCAATCAACAACATTTTAAACCATCCTTTGTTTTTTATTTTTCAAAAGGAAAAAGAAACTGTGAAACTTTCTTCCATCTGTCAACCTTTTTTTTTTTAACATAAGCACCAGGAAACCTTTTGAAGAGGGGGTGAAACACCCAAATAGAAAATCATCTACACCATACATCATTTTTTTAAATTAAGCAACTATATTTAATTTATAGCTAAATCTATCAGCACATCCAGCATTTATGTTTTAAAAAAAGCAAAATAATGTATAATTTTTAAGCTTGATTCGGTCACATCTGGTTTAAAAATTAAAGTGATTTTGATTTCTAAATAATCTAGTCTATCAGTGTTCCAAATGTAGGGCTGCATTAGCCCAAGTTAAGTAACACAGAAAAGAGATAGAACTTTTTTGATCTTCTACCAAACAAGACATCTAAATAAGAGTCCAGAACATTTAGTGCTGTATAACTTTTTGTAAGAATAAATTATGGTGTGCAGGAGGATAGTTTAAAGTGTGTTATCCATGCTATGTTTATCCATTTAGCAGATCCTTTTACCCAAAGTGACTCACAAAGTAGAAACAATGTTACAGTTATCAATATGACAATAAGTTGTCTAGAGGAAAATCCCAAGTCAGAATCAGTGGTGACAGCAAAGAGAGAGAGGGAAGTGCAGAAAGAGTAGTAGAGGGGTACAGAGGTATGGGTAAAGGCTGATTAATACTCAGAAACCAGGTCGTCTGCATGTGTGTCGCAGTGAACGCAAATGTGCCCCGGCCCCATCCGCAGACACTCTGCTGCAACTCTCCAAAATTGTAAGTGACCACAGATATTGGCGGAGACAGGAGGCCTCTGATTGGTCAAATCTACATTATCCGTATTTCCTGTTTGGTACCTTACTGGCTTGTTTTGTTGGTATAACCACCATTGCGGAAAATTACTTGTGAATTTGGACCAGCTAGAAGAGCGAGGTACGCTGAGACCCTTTTTCCACCTGGATCCCCACTCTTTTTCGCCCTCATGTCCCTTCGGTGTTGGACAAACTTGACCCCACTTCTTCACTGTCTCGGCTGTACCTAGACCCACAGCTAGTTCCTGAGTGTCCCTCTTGCCTTGTGGTGTGGAATAACATAGTGCAGACAAAATTGAACATAAAAAAAAAAGAAACTGCAACAAGCTCACTGCGACACAATGCTGCGAGGATATAACCAGCCCTTAAGAGTTAGAATAGGAGATGCTGTTTGAAGGGGTTGGTCTTTAGGAGTTTCCTGAAGATAGACATGGATGCTGTTCTTGTAGCGCTTGGTAGGTCATTCCACCATCTTGGAACAACACAGGAAAACAGTCTGGATTGTCTTAAGCATGATGTAGGAACTGCTAGAAGACAATCTATTGATGGCCGGAGTGGCCAAGTTGTTATATAAGCCTTTTCTGAGGGTTCAAGAAGATGGGAGCTGTACCTTTAAGCACTTTTCAGGCTAGCATCAGGGGCTTTAATTCGATGCAGACAGCCAGGGGTAACCAGTGCAGCTCAATGAACAGAGAGGTGACATGAGACTTTTAGGGCTGATTGAAGACCAGACGTGCCACCGCGTTCTGGATCATTTGTAAGAGTTTTATCGTACAGCCAGGGAGACCACACAGGAGCACGTAACAATAGTCAAGGTGGGAGATAGTGAGCGAAGTGGAATACTTTGGTCCAGACTTTGTGATAAGTGCAGTGATAGTGTTGCATGTTGCATATTAAAGGTAATGACTGCAGGTGTAATTTCATAATACACTGGGGCTATTCCTTCAATGTAATGCACATTGGCAGATTCGAACACAACAAAAGAATCATATTATTTTGTATGAAAATGACCAACAGCATCAGGATTTGGTTGGTCTTTAAAGTTTTAGGGAATATTTAAATGACAAATCATTCTAGTTTAAACATGTATATACATGTACTCTTTATCAGACTATATTGTCCCAAAAGTTACAAAATTTCTATTTAAAAAAAAATCTTGTCTTAAAATCTGTTTTTTTTTTCTGTTATTTTATGCAGCCCAGTCAGTTATATGTCAGCTTGTACACCTAAATTCGGCCAATCATACATCAACGGTCATCTGTCAATCAAATTTTTTCGGTCAAAGCATCGTGATACACATGTCACAGGTAATATAATTGGTTGAAATAAGAAATAAGAATCATTTGCTCTACCATTAAGTTCCGTCCCAGTGTTCACGGGGATGGACATCTGTGTCTTCGGCAGGCATAGAGCTAAGGCTACGTTCACACTGCAGGCCTTAATGCTCAATTCCGATTTTTTTGTGAAATCGGATTTTTTTGCATGTCCGTTCACACTTCCAAGTATATGCGACTTGTATGTGATCTACTGTGTGAACTGAAAGCGTTCAACCGAAGTGTCCCGCATGCGCACTCGAGGACGCGATGACGTCACATGTAGCAAGCGTCCTCAGTGTTTGCGGAAGTAAACATGACTCGTAATACCGCAGCGTATATTGCGTTCTTTAAGTTCTTCTCCAACAGGAGCAGGCACATTACGAACGAAATCTTTTTAAGAAGATCAAAAAGAAAGAGAGCCAGATTTCTTGCAATGGCGTTTTGTGGGGCAGTAATAGCAACGTCCGTACAGAGCTCTCACTGAGCTCTCTATTGACTGCTCTCTGTGTTATCTTCCGCCATGGTTGTTAGTTTTTCCCGCCTCCGCTTAGTAGGACGCAGATTAGTAACATTTAGTAACATTTGTCAAGTATCAATGACGTGTAGGTCGGATGAATGCGACCTGGCCGTACAGACACAGGTCGCATTTGAAAAGATCAGATACGTATCGGATTCAGGACCACATATCCAAGTGGCCTGGGTCGCATTTGAAAAAATCCGATCTGTGTCGTTCAGACTGTCATAAAAAGATCAGATACAGGTCACATATGGGCAAAAAAATCGGAATTGGGTCACTTCAGGCTGCAGTGTGAACGTAGCCTAACAGAACTGGCAGCATTACGTAGCAAGGGCTCAAACATGTACGGCTGTAAGCCTTCTACACTAAACCAAGCTTCCTCTTCCACAACATCTTTGTCCCAGATTTCCTCCTCTAAATAAAAAATGTATGACAAATGAGACGACGAATCCACGACCTCCGACACAAAACTCTCCTCCTCTTGCATGTTTCCGCTGTCCATAGCGTTCCTTGACATTGTTGTTACTAAGTGCTACTTGGTCCCAATGTAATTTCCCATTGGGAACCTACTAGCACTAAGTTGCTAACTGGTTAGCAAGATGCTTCCAACAAACCGGCCACAAACAAACTTGCAACAACAATCCTGCCCCCTTGATAAACGACCAATCACATTCACTTTATTCACTCATGTAAAGTCGGGCACCAGTCGGGAGAATTCGGGAATGCAACGGTTTTAACTGCCGTTTCCCTAGGACTTTAAAGTTCCAAGGCACCAAACCGGCTGTGCATTGTCAATTATATCAACAACAAAAAATGCAAATACACTCACTATTCAGCCGGTGTAGGTGCTCCCCTTTTGCATACACTGCTTTTAAGGTTCTTATCCCTGAAATCGTGCTCAGTAAAGATTTAATGAAGGAACGCTGAGCTATTACTTTGAAATTGTATGGCAGATCTACATTGTGAATATTTTCTGGTAAAAGAAATGCACTTTTGGCCATTGGGTTTTTGATGAGTTATTTTTGGATAGACCAGGTGATAGACAGGCTGACTGGGGCAGTAATAGAGGTATTGATTAAGTCTGATGTGATGAAAAATTACTTGATTGGCCATTCTCTTTTCTTTTCGGGCCTCATCTCGAGTTATGAGATGTGGATTGAGACCAAAACAATTAGTTCCTTGATATAAGGGGCTGAAATGAGCTTCCTCTGTAAGGTGCCTGGACTCAGCCTTAGGGATAAGGTGAGGAGCTCTGTCATCCTGTCATTCCATCATTCAGCAATGCTAAAAATGGTTGTTAGGAAGGAAAACAGAAATGGCACTTAATTTATTCAACATATTTTTGGTTATCTAGTAGTATTTAATCCATAATTGTTCATATGTCTTTGTCTTACCAGTTATTCTATGACCGTTTAGTCTGCTGGTCCAAAGTGGTCTGCTATCACACTGAGGGAGACTATTTAATATTGTGACAATGCAGTGGTTCCAGAAGACTTACCTGGAAGTTTAAAATGTAGCACCCCTAGAGGCTAAAACTTACACAGTGTTGCTTTAAGATCTGACCTGTGTTTGTCGTCTATTGTGTTTGTAACCACCTTCTAAATTAGGTTTGTTGTTGTCCGCTGCCAGCCTCGTGGGAGTTTAATAATGAAGAAAATTACATCTCATAGGCTTTTTGTTTGAGGACACATAATGTTGGTCCAGCAGCTTTAAAACAGATCTGAACACAATATTTTTGTCAGACCTTAACTGAAACGCAGCATGGCAAAACTGGAAATACTGTACTAGACCTCATTAATTATCCCTCAATGATTTAACCCTTCTCTGTAACAGTAATCTGCATGTCTTTGTCCTGCATAGTGTCATTTCCACCATTGCTGTATCAGAAGTAATATAAAAATGAAAACAAGAGCAAACGGTAAACAGCCTACATTTAATAAATTGTGTCAGTGTGTAAACAAGTAGGTAATAGCTCATTTTCCTTTTATCATATACTGATGGTGAAGGACGCTGTCATCTCGAAGCGCAGCTGTGCTGGTTGATAGATCTGAAGGCAAGAAGGAGACGGTCAGCGGGGGGTTGGTGGGAGAGAGAGGAGTCAGGAGTGAGGTGGAGGGAACATGCCTGCTGGCTCCCTGTCTGCACACATTACACTGTCACAGGCTGAGACTACACTTCTTTTTCTCTGCTGTCAGCCTACATGTTTATCATCTGGACTTTTTTCCTACATCTTTGTATTTTTAGATATATGCCATTGATTGGGATTACATCTATACCTTCTGAGGAGGGTCGTTGTGAGGAATCA